TCTTCACCGTGAGCACATGCCTGGTCCTGCTTGGGTCTTCTCTTTGGGCCTTGAGATACTTCTGGCTTAGTCACCTTTTCTTCCCAGGGGACCCAAAGACCCTAGCGCGCTGTCCACAGAGGCTGTTTTGCTAATCATCAGATGGCCACTTCAGGCATCCACTGCCCAAGACCACTGAGCTGCAGGGCCTTCTCTCCCTTCAGCCTACCAGAACTAGGTCCTGACACGGTATCCACTCTAACCCTCCGACCCGCCAGGGAACCCCAACTGGCTGGAAACGCGGCTGGCTTAATATTTCAGCTGATAGGAAGCGCTAAATGCTCCCGTATCTCGGTTGAACAACCCCACTAACTAGCCACAATCTTGAACTAGCTGGACATTTCTACATGCAGAACACAGGGATTATCCTTGACACCAGTCCCGATTCTCAGCTGTTCCAGCAGCGCCAGCCACCCAACAACCCTGCTCGGCCTTGCCGGACTCGGGTGGGGCGAGCAGGAATTTCTGCCGTATTCTCCATTCTTTTCTCGTCTGCACAACTTCTTCTCTTTTTCTCCTTTGTTTAAAGGCAGCGGAGGAGAAAGACTCCGAGCCTTTAGCCTGTGGGACCAGCTAAAAGGCCTCTTTTAATTGCTCCGATAATGTGTTTGCTGCTATTTTGTTAAGAGCAATCACTCCTGCAGCGAATTCACAAGCATTCTAGACAGGCCGGAGCCGGCAAAAATGTAGGATTTGACGTTAAAAGCTAAATGGGAAGCTGGGGCGCGCGGAAGGTAAATTGATGGTGGATCTGGCTGTCAGGGCTTGGCCCCAGACCTCCGCACAGGACGAAAGCCTGATAACCCTGGAACGCGCCAGCAGGCCAGCAGGCGAGGAAGTGAGGATCTCTCTCTCTCTCTCTCTCTCTCTCTCTCTCTCTCTCTCTCTCTCTCTCTCTCTCTCTCTCTCTCTCTCTCTCTCTCTCTCTCTCTCTCTCTCTCTCTCTCCAGCTTAGGAGTGAACCTGGCAATCTCAGAGTGGATCTCAGCATCCTCCTCGGCTCCATTTTCCAGGACTCTCACTCCAAGAGAGGCGTACTGACAGCAGCTTCCAGACTGCGTGTCCGAAATGACAGCTAGGTCACCGAGGGGACTTTGCTTGCCTCCTGAACCCCAGAGGCACACCGAGGAAGTAGGGAGTCAGGGAGTTCTAGATGGTTCGGCCCATTGGTTGCAGCATTTTCCGTTGTGTGCCTCGGGATTTAGGCAGCTTTGCTGGGCTGTAAAAGAAATCTCCCGGGCTTTGGATGTCACCGATGAAAATGGATGCTGCACTCTCTCGGAGACTCTTGGAAAATGTGTCTGCCTGAATTCCAAGTGATGGCCCAATCCCCGCCCCTTCACCTGTGGCTCTGCTGTCGGCTGCCCCACAGCGACTGAGGATCTGAGAACTAGCCTCTCGCGGGGTCAAAGTAGGGGGGAGAGGCAGGGGGCACTCGAGGATTTCAGATTTCGCAGGAAGAGGTGTGGGAATTAGAAGGGATTTCAAATGCAAAACCTCAGGAGGCAAGGAGCGGGGCACTTTGGGGCTACCCCTGAGATTTGGGGGAGAGAATCTGGACCAGGTGCGAGGACCTGAAGTGTATTCGCAAGGACAGCAGGTAAAGGACGTCACAAAAGCCTGGACTTGCATTGGTCTACGGACCGCAGGAATCCACTGCATTATTCCTGGATCTTTAAACGTGCGCTGTTTCTAAAGTCGTTTGCGGGTAGTGAGTTTCTCTTCAACCACCACCTAGCTTCTCCTAGTGCGTGAGCCTGGAAAAGGGGTTGGCTGGCGCATGCTAAACAGACTGAGTTTTAAAAGGAAGTTTGTGGCGGCATAAGCCCCATAGACCGCTGAATCTGGGCCCTAGCCGCTGCCCACCTAGTCATCATATCTTAACTTGGGAGAACCGTTCCCCCTGAAAGTCAAATCCTCTGGCCCAGATCTCCGCAGGAGAAGAGGGCGCTAATGAGTCTTCCCGGCGGGCGCGGAAGCTCCAGTCCCAGCCCTTGGATCTCTAGAACAGAAAGGAAAAAAAAAAAAAAAAAAACCAGGAACCGCCCTCAGACTGGGGTTCAGAAATCGGCTGGAGGCCCCAACAGCCTAAAAGGTTCAACGTTGCAATGAATTGCTGTTGTGGAGATTATCGGGGTGGGGTGTGGGGGGGAACCCATTAGGTATTTTAAACTGTTTGAAAGAGGAAGAAGGGGGCTGCTCCAAAAGAGGAAACCAATCCCATGTTTCCGGGGGCCGGACAGTTCTAAGAGCACCGCCTCATCACCCAGCCTGTGTGCTACATCGCACAGCAACTGTCTGTCTGCCCCGGTTCTAAGGAGCCTGTGACCGCTGAGGGGCTTCGGCCGGCCGGGCCCCTAGAAGTCCCGGAGTTCTGAACTTCCCCCGACCCCCGGGGTTCTCACCGTTCTCCCCTGCCCAAGATGCAGGAGCGCGAGCAACCAACCCCTGCACCACGTACATTCCCTCCAAATTTCTCCCGGCATTTGGGCCCCTTTGATGATCAGATGCTAGAGCCCTGATTACAAATTTATTCCCGGCCTCTCTGTCCGTCTTTATCTCCGCTATTAGGGACATCTGGGAGTGATTAGTGCCGCGCCTGCGCCGGGGCCGCGCTCTCCTATCTCGCCGCAGCGGGGCCCACAGCCTCGCTGACGTCAGGGCAGACGGCTCGGAGCCATCCCAACAGAGCTGGGTGTAATCGGCTGCTGAGCAGCCAAGTCCTCCCGGGGCCAGGCCGGCAGCTGGATAACTCCATCTGCTTGCGCGAAGAGATCTTCTAAATATATATATATTTTTAGCCCAGAACACTGTTTTGTTTCCCTTGTTTGGGGTGAGAAGGGGCCAGTTGGCGATGCTTCCTTGCAATCTTCCAACCCTCTGGGTCTTGTGCATTCCTCTTAGAAAAGGCACCGACGATTGGTCCCTATGGACCGGCGTTCCTCTGCTACTCCTGAGCCAAGAGCTGCTTCCTCCCTTCACCAACGGAGGCAGCCTGGGAGGTAATACCAGTGCAAAAAATCACATGGACTCACGTGGATGCTAGTGGCCCTTATGTAGCCAAGGGACTCTCAAGAAATTTCTTAGACGTAGCTAGTGCCCCGCCTATGGCACCCGCGTGTTCTGTAGTCTCCAGGACCAAAATGGTGGAAATTTTAGCCTAAGGAAGGGGACGATCTGGCAGCAGTTGGTTACAGAGCCGGATTTCTCTTGAGGCTGCCGCCTCTGCACCTGCTGTTCCAGTCTAGTGAGCTGCCCAGCTAGCTCTGGAGCAGGCAGGACAGGCGACTAGCACGGCACCTTTGTCCTATGTTGTGCAGAGCAGAGGTGTGAGATCTCTGTGTGTGGATCCTAGACCCTCAAGACCCTGCCTACCTGCTGCTGGCTGACAGACAGGTGCAGTGTTGAACCCAGTATCTGAACTCTTCAGGAGGGAGCTTCCCATCCCCCAGAGAACTGACCAAATTACAAATCTACTCCCTATTTCATTCAAACTTCCAAACGTTCTGATTGGGCAGGCCATGGACTTCGTTCCAGAGTTTGCAATTCTTAGAACTCTCGCAGGGGCCTGGGGCTACATCAACCACCTTAATTAGTCCAGAGACTTAGGAATGTTTTCCTTGACCCTCCAAAGATACTGCCCGGTGTGGGTAAGGGCGCCATTATCACACACGAGGAAAGAGTAGGCGAAGGCCTCCATTATTGAACTCTACACCCCTCAAGAGAGAGTTAGTCATCTCAATTTAACTTAGTCAGTAATAGATCCTTTGGTAGAGTGGGATTTATTTCCTCACACACTAAACCGGGCAAGCTGCATCTTTAGTCAGAGGTTTACAATTTAGAGGGAAAGAAGACAGCCTTGGTTTGAGTGAAGTTATAAAATGACAAAACTCACTTCAGGGAACCAAGAATATAAAGAATGAGTTGGGGAATTCAGAATCCCCCAAAAGTTCTTCACAATCAGTTGAAGCCACTCTATAGAGCATAATCATGAATGGAAAGGGGGCATTTCCTCCCATCAGAGCAAATGGCTCGCTCCCTCATTCTTACTCTCAGCAGGGTAAGAGGGAAACTCTGAAGTGTGTGGTTTGATGAAATGGTCCTTGCTGACTTCAGGGCTCTGGCTGACTGAGAAAAGGGGGCAATGGCTGTGCAAAGCATTGTTTTTCCACACTGTCGGTGGATTCTATAGAGGCTGCCTTAATGTGGGAGCCTGCTTAGTGTAGCCAGCCAGATTTCTGAGTTTTGGTTTGGTTTGATTTTTTTTTTTTTTTTTTGCTTGCTTGTTTGTTTGGGTTGGGTTAGATTTTCTGGGACAGAGCCCTGGCTATCCTGGAACTCACTCTGTAGGCCAGGCTGGCCTCAAACTCACAGAGACCCAACTGCCTCTGGCTCCCAACTGCTGGGATCAAAGGTGTGTCCCACGACCTCCCAGTCAGATTTCTGAATCAGGTCACTCAAAACCACAAAGATCCACATGATTCTCACCTACAGTATTTTCTTGTTCCAGGTACAAATGACATGAGGATGGGAAAAAACTAGGTGAGCCACTGGCCAGAGAGCCTCAGTTTATGTCTCCAAGCAGAGAATCTAGATTCATAGAAAGCTGAGGGTTTCAGGTAATAACCAGTGATACTTGACTATTCTGACCTCCAACCAATACCCCAGCCACTTCCTCCAGTAGTTTTTGGTTTTCAAAGTCTTGTCTGTGTCTGACAAGATCTTGCTAACATAGCACAAACTAACCCAGAAATCTCTATGTGGACTATGCTAATCTTAAAACATGGCAATCCTCCTGCCTCTGCCTTCTAAGCACTGGGATTACAGGTATATGCCAGGATGCTCAACTTCAAATAGTATTTTTAATGCACAACCTACCAGACATATCCAGCCCCAACTAACCCAGTGCTTCTCCATAACTAGATGGAGGGCTTCAAAATATAATCCTGCGTTGTAACGCCATGCCACCTCCCAACATTGGTGACCAAGAACTGAAGAATCAGGAAACCTGTTCGTTGAGACACATCATTTGTTCAGCATCCTGCTATTTGCTGCTCGACACGCTAAACATCGCTTCAGACAGTGCGCTTAATCAAGGGCAGAGAGTTTTCAGCCTTCATTAGGCATATTGCCTAGAGGATGCCAGAAATGATGGTATTCTAAACTAAGATGCCAATGACCACTGACATCTGTGCCTTCTTTTTAAGATGGGACAGTGTGTGTGTGTGTGTGTGTGTGTGTGTGTGTGTGTGTGTGTTGCTTGTGGCTTTTGTTTTAAAGAAGAAAACCCAAAGCAAAATCTACATTTGCAGCTAGTAGTCGGGAAAGAAAAGCTGATGCGGGTTTAATGGAGGGAAAGTGGCGGTCAGACCGCCTGACCATCGCCTTCCCTTGCAAATCTGGTTTTCATATTCTCGCTCAGTAATCACCCAAAGCCATAACTGTCTCTGAAATTATTCATTAAAGTCATTTTCAGGGATTCTCACAGGATGACTCTTAAGTTTATGATCTGAGAGCAATGACATCAGCCTCTGTCTTTTTTCCGCTTTTAATTAATGTTCTGGAAAGACGGGGTTGGGGGAGGCTGTGAGCTTGGGGAGGGGGCGGGCGGGCGGGGTGGAACCCGCAGGCCTCTCTGCTCCAGCGGTCAGCTGAGCGCCGGCGCACAGACATCCTTTGATTAAGGAGGGCATTTCTGGGAGTGCAGGCTGTGCAGAAGATCACGGCTGTGCCCTGTGGTGCTGTCAGCGGTGACAGATCCCAGATGGGGCCGCTACTGTGTGGCAGATTGAGTTTCTCAACAGAAAACTCACCCTTCCTCCTAAACGTCTTCAAAAAACCTTCTCCGGATACTCCATCCATCCAGTCTCGTCGTTTGAAATAGAAGCAGTCCAACCCCAAAGTTGGTTTTGAGTGCGTGCATGTACGCTAGGTTTGTTTTTTTTTTTCCTCTCCTTTCCTCTTTTGCTCTGTATTTCCTCTCCTTTTTTGCATCTTCGACTCGCGAGGGCCACTCATGGCACAGATGCGGTGGGTCTTGGGGGTTCCCGCTCACCAGGCTCAGGGCACCAAGTGGTCGAACCAGCACTGAGGGGCCCCCAAAGGGAAGGCAAAGCGGTGGGTAGAAGCCGGACGTCAGCGATGCGGGGTGAGACTGTGACACGCTAGGGGAAGTCGAGGTGGATCCAGTGAGTCGCACACTGGAATAGAGACGCTGGGCTTGGGGGGGGGGGTGTAAAGGAGGAAACCGAAGGTACCTTGTCCCGCTCCAGTCGGCCTGGCTCTTTGGGGAGGCGGGAGGCGGTGCGAAGTCCCAGAGAAGGGAGGCTGGGTCTTCCCGTTGAGGATGGGTGAGAGTCTGCAGGAGCCAATTACCCGCAGGAAGAGGGAGAGAGCACGCCGCGGGGATCCGAGCTGATCTGAGCGATCTGAGCGGTGGGACCAGACTCGGGCCTTCTGAAGGTGAGAGGGGCGTGGAAGCCCAAGTTTCTACTCAATACTCCCCCCAGCATTCCCGGACGTTGTCGGGGTTGAAAATTGTGTTGCAGAAATATGGACTTATTATAAACTGTTCTTTAAAAGTAACTTTAAAAATGTCTTGAACCTTTGCTCTCCGGAAGCAACAGAGATTCCTCCCTTACCCCGACCCTCACCCCCATCCGTGTCCTCAGGAAGAGATGCTCCGGCCGGTTCTGTGCTAGAGGCCGCAGGGAGGGAGGAAAGGTTGAGAGGGCCGGCATTCCGAGGCCAACCGAGAGTGGTTTCTAGGCCCCACCCATCCCTCTCCCCCAAGGTTTTCTTGCTAGTGAATCTTGGCACGTTTTTCAGACGAAACGTCTGACACCGAGAGAGGAATCTAGAGAGCGCGTTTTGTTCTGTTTTGCTTTAATAGTAAGTAGTGTATCCTTTTAAACACACCGGCAGTCGCCACCATCCTTCTCCCACAACTTCTCGAGATAAGAGACCATCGGAGCATCGGGGAAACTAAAAATACCGGAGAGGCTACACTCAGCATCCAAGAAACCACCCGCCGCCTCTGTGGAGCGGGGACCCTGCCTGCCCGTGCGGCACCTTCCTCACCCAGGGTCTTTCTTTGTCTTGAGTCCTGGGCCTAAACCCGAGTTATGTAGGGAGGCCACACCTTGCAGTCACAGGGACACCTACCGGGGTCACCTTGCAGCTCCTGGTGACTGGTGTGGCCTGCCGTGGTGTCTACACTAAACAGACCCTTTGGTCAAATCTAGATGTCACACTTTTAATGCCTTCCCATCTGTCCCTTCTAAAGTGTAATTTTTGGAAAGAAAAGAGGTGGACCCTGCTAATGTCACTGTCATCTGGTGGCAAGCATTCTCCAGCTTGTGTTAAGAATTACGCGTGTGCATATTTAGGGGGAACCTATGAACCCCACCCCACCCACCTCTCCCAATGCAATAATCCCACACACACAATTCCAGCTTCAATTGTCGTGTAAAACTGAAAAATTCCTTATACAAAAACAAAACATGCTGAATATCAAAACTCCCGCCCACCTCCTCTAGAAGGCAGCTTTTATTTCCATTGCCCGTGATGGATGAAAGTGGTTTATTTTGATTTTGTTTTCTTGTACCCACTTGTCTTGTAAAAGGTCCCTGTGCACCGGTCTGGCCCCCCCTCTAATGACCGCGGGGGCCTCGCTTCCAGACTGCAATCCCCTCCACTTGGTTAAGTCCTCGCCTGGAGCCGAGGTGTAATTGTGACCCGCCCTAACTCCGATTCTCGGGGGGGGGGGGGGGGGATACCGTTGGCCTGGCCAGACTGAGGCCGGGACCTCCCAAGTGGCGCCCGGCTCTTGAGCCTCCTCCCCCTTCCCTTCCTCTGCGGACTTTGCTAGCTGCGGACTTTGTGCATGCCCCCGCTCGGAAGGGTAAATCTTTCTCCTTTTGTGTTTGCTTTATTTGTGCATCTTTTACTTGTCCAGCATCTTATTAGGACTCTGGGTCGCCTTCCCATTGAAACTCCGTGACCGGAGAAGTAACGGTCTGGGGGAAAAAAAACCTGGGAGCCTCTAGCCCCCTCCGCACCGCGGCGGAGTCGGAACCCGGAGCGCTTCTGCATAACGTCAGCGCGCCGGGTAATTTACCTTTCCTGCGCGTCTGTCAATATGACTAATTTCCACCCGGGTCAAAAAGCCTTTCTCCGGCAGTCCATCTTGGAGCGCTCTCTTAATGCGGTAGATGGGGGGGTGGTTGTTTTGTTTCCACCCTAGAAATAAATACTCTCGGGGCGTCCCTGCCCGGGCAGCCCTGAGACGAACAGGGGAATATACACCATGTCAATTAAAGGCGGTTTGCCTTGAACTACGAACTGTGATTGGGCCTCAACGACAGCGACCTGCTTGCCTTTTAATACACATTACCTAACTCGTCCTTGATTCCAAAGCTTTCTTTAAAAACATATTTTTTTCAAGAAGGAAGTAATTATTGCTCCAACTCTTCCCCATTGGGTGTAGTTCCACAATTCAGGGTATGTGTTAAACACAGGGTGTGATTGCTAATCTGGCCTAGACAATATATCATCCAGGCGATGTTTCACAATAACTTTTAAACTGCTACCCACCTCTAAGTGCCGATCTGTGCTGTGGAGTTAACCGGTCTCTCAGAGGCCGCTGGTAGGAGCAAAGTCCTGACTCTGAGAAACATTCTTGAAGAAGTTAGCTTGATTACGAAGACTGTATGATTCTCAAGTGGTAGACTCAGGGCTAGAGCGAAGGAACCAGGAAGACAAGGGCACCCAGCGATGAGGGCACCCAGTTCTGAGGGCACCCAGTGCTGAGGGCACCCAACTAGGTTCCTTAGGCTTTGGCGTATTTGACTTCTCTGATCCACAGACCAACGTGCATATGGGGAACTGAAAATTCCTCAACAGCACATTTTCTTTCCGTCCAAGCTCAGGCAGTGAGAGCCCAACTGATAAAGCTAATAAAATTACAATTTTGACGAACTTGACAATATATGCACACACACAAGCAAGCACACACACGCAGACACACACACACACAGAGGGAGAGAGAAACAGAGAGAGACAGAGAGACAGAGAGAGAGAGAGAGAGAGAGAGAGAGAGAGAGAGAGAGAGAGAGAGATAGGGAGAGAGAGTTTAGTAGCTGGGAAAATTTGGCAAAACCCAGGGGAAATGATCCTGGATGGAGGTGGAGAGGCATCCGGCATACCCTGTACCAGGATGACACCTAGAACTCAACCCACATACATGCCTCAGCCATCACACCTGTCTTTGGTGAACACACACACACACACACACACACACACACACACCATTCCCTCTCTCATCTGCTGGTGCATTTATGGCCTAATGAAAGTATATCCTTTAGGGAAAAGACTGTCTATAAAATGTGAAATATTGAGAGCTGGTTTGGATAGTCCCAAACAGGGTCTGGCCTGGTCTTGGTTCTTTCTTTCTTTTTTAAGCACAAACACCTTGAGTCCTTCTGTTGTTTCCATAATCGCCCTGTTATTTTTACCAGACTATGAAAAACATTTTCTTACTGACCTCTGTTTATTCCCTGTGGGAGGAGAAATGGCTTCAGCCTGAAGACTTATCTTTATTTGTGGGGAAGGCATTCTTTGGGGGGGGGAAGGAATTTTACCATCTATTCCCTGTCATCTTTGAAAAACCCTGGCACCATATGTTCCAACAGCTGGGGGAAACCAAGAGCTCCGTCAACTCCCCTTCACTTCCTTCCTACCCCAAATGTTGCTACCTTTTGGGGTCTGGGGCCCACACTTTCTCCTGGCATTCTATGAAATCCCCCCCCAGCACAGCATGGGGATCACATGAACACCTGTTTTGTGGGGCAAAGATAACCTAATTTTAAGTCTGGGGCAGAACCTGTTGATGAGCACAAACGGGCAGAGCATCAGAGGTCCTTCCAGGTATGCTTTCATATATACTGTATGTACATCCAAACCAGACCCTTTCTCTCTAAGTCCCTTTCCAGTATGCTTTCATATATACTGTATGTACATCCAAACCAGACCCTTTCTGTCTAAGTCCCTTCCCGGTATGCTTTCATATATACTGTATGTACATCCAAACCAGACCCTTTCTCTCTAAGTCCCTTTCATTTTGCAACTTGACCTTTGCCAACAGAGCAGTTTAGGCTGTTTACTAGTTGGGACTCTGCAACATGAAAAACTTCTGGAGACATAAACATCAGAGCTGAGTTGCAGAGCAGTGTCCTTTGGCAGGACGGGTTGTTTATTTGCACATTCTTGAAGACCACAGCAGTTCTAAATTAAAATATTTTTGGCATGCAAGTACTCTTTAATTACCTGGAAGTAATGAAAGTGAATGATTATCCAACCCCAAACATACTTGATTCCTTTGATTTCTGAGTTCACCCTGAGTTTTGATGCTTCTATTCGTCTTCTTTTTTTTTTTTAAATGTAGGTTTGAGCCAGGCTTGGTGTCTAGTCTAAAATGTGAGCATTTGGAACATGGATACTAGAGGATCCCCAAAAGGTGCTAGTCAGGTTGGTCTTCACAGCAAGTTCCAGACCAGCCCGGACTGTATAGCATGACTATCTTTTCCAAAACAAAACAAAAGACAAAAGACACACACTAAAAGGAAAAAAAAACAGTTTAAAGCACTATGTTTTCCTTCCTGAGTAGTAGTTGCCTAACTCTTACCCCTTTAGAGTTCTGGCAAAGAGGCAAAGTGCATGGTCCACCCTGAGAGGTGTGACTGCTTATATGTGCAAGGAAGGGTCTCTGGGAGGAAGCCATTTCTAGGCAAGGATCTTCTTCATGGAAAAAACAATGTTCACTTCCAAACATCTGCTAGAAACTGTTATGTTGTAGCTTAGTCTTTCCCAGTGGCACTAAAGGCCCTTACTCCTACAAATCTACTTTCGCAGTGACTTAACTGGAGCTGTAAGTGGCCTTAAATTGGCTGGTCCCCTTGCCTGGGAGGATGGAAGGAGGGACTCACCTAAAATGCTTTTCTTCTCATAAAAATAGTATTTCCTGGTCAGATTTCCAATTTTGGACCTATTAAACAAAACGGAAAGCAAACTATGTGTTTTTAAATCTTAGATTCTCCGTAGATAGCAACTAATAATTCCTCAGTATGTGACAGATGCTAAACACATTACATTTAGCACCTCTTGTGTACCCCAGGAAGCGTTTCTGACTTATTTTGTTTGTCTGTAAAGATAGGATCCACCTGTAATTTAAACTGTCCTTAACTAAACAAGTATTCCTCCTCCTATGTCCATCTCCCCAGTGTTGGTATTACAAATCTGCACCATCTCCCCTCATGAGATGCCTAACAAAAGGTATGATGTTCTTCTGAGTCAAAATGTATACAGAATAGACAGGCAAAACATTTTCCCAGCTATCTTTACTGTTATTCACTGCTTGCTCATCTTCTCTAAGCTATCTAATATATGGCAAAGCCAAAAGTGGTATCATTTCTATGATCCTAGCATTGCAAGTTTCCGGGATTATGTCTGCTCAGCTGATAGAAATGGTGGGGATGGAGCAGATCCTTGGAGGCTCTGGAGAGGCTCACACAAAATACAATGCAGTCATAGTGTAAGATATGACCTGATTGTAACTTAAATTTTACAACACAGGGGTATATGTAGAAAAAAATGATCACTAAGGTTCCATATTTGATATTATTCTGTAACTGATACCAAAAAATAAAGAGAGGGAGAAAAGAAAGGGGAGAAAGGAAAGCAATTAGAAAGGCAGAGATTATAAAATTCTTTTAGGAGGGAGGACTTGATGTTTTTCAAGACAGAATTTCTCTGTGTAACAGCCCTGGCTGTCCTGGAACTCACTCTGTAGACTTGGTTGGCCTCGAACTCACAGAGATCCACCTGCCTCCGCCTTCCTAGTGCTGGGATTAAAGGAGTATGCCACCACCTCTGGGTTATAAAATTATATCTAGTATTGTGTAAGTGGCTTTTCACACTTTGTTTGTCTGTTTTGTGTGTGTGTGTGTGTGGCTCTCCTTCCAACTCAAGTTGTTTTTGTTGTTGTTGTTGTTTAGAGTGCTTAGGATTGAGTCTCAGGCCTGTCACATGCTAAGAATTCCCCTTTCTATCAATCTATCTTTTCTTCCCTCCAAATTGAAAGCAGCTAAATTGTCATGCATCAAATAAATCATGAATAAATTTTCTCTTATTATAAGAGTGTTTTTATAATGTCCTCACCTGCAGTTAATTTGTGCAGGTTCTAAATGGATAGGCAAAGGATTAGGTGATACATATTCACTGTATAAAACAGTTGAAATAAATTCTGAAATGAAATAACCATGCAGACTTAGACCTCAGGCATTTTGTTATTTCCAATTCAACAAATGATGAAGAGTTCAGGTTAAAGCACTCGCCCAGTGTGCTCGAGACCCTGGGTTTGACCTCCAATAATATACAGTACATACACATAACACATGAGATGAAGATAAAGCCAGCTGATTGGTTTTTATAAAAAGCCAATACTCAGTAACACTTGTATCTACATTTTTGTGGTCTTGGGAAAAGTTTAAGCATCTTACTCCTGATTCTAACCTAGAGGGCATCTTATCCTTACTAATGGAGAAGATACATGTTTTTTAGAGGAAAATAGAAGTCACATGTAAGAAACAAGAAATGGAGTAGTTCTGGGTGTTCTTGACTTTCAGTACTTGACCGGGATTGTAGCTGAGTTGAGTCAAGTCCATGCTCTTCCTTGCTATACCATTCTTTACTCATCCCTGTAAATGATGTTGGAAGCGACTTCAGTTCCTGAGAAGACTATAGCCATGAGGGAGGAGGGCTACTAAGTATCTACACATTTATTAATAACAAAAGATGTGTCTTTTCCCTTTGGACTCTCTTTACAACACTAAGGAGAATTATCAACAACAGCAAAGATTGTTGTTTCACTTCTTGGCACAGGCTTTTGTCTAGTTCTCTTAGGACTCAGTTTGTCTTGGATGCTTAGGGTTAGCTGGCCAGTAAAGTGGACTAGGTTTCAGGCCTGTGCAATGCTCCACTGATGTCTTGGTAGGACCAAAGGGCATTTGGTGGTGAAAGGGACCCCAAACCTTCTGCGCCCTGCAGCCCTGAAACTGCTCATCAGACTCACAGCCAAAGGACCATGTCACTCTAATTTAACGTGTGCATATGTTGGCCAGCTTCTTGGCCAGTTTTATGAGGTTTCCCTGGCAGGGTCAGAGGGCCTGATGCTAGTGTTCTCGTGAGGATTAAGGATTCTAATGAATCATGTGACTATGAATAGACCTGGGTGGTGGCCATGTTTAAGGGGACCTGCTTATCCTCCTCCCGACCCTCAGGCTTTCCACCCTGGAGGTCTCTTTCCACTCCCAGAAGGGGAGACTAGTCTTTAAGGACCAACCAAAGAGCAGGCCCTGGGAATTTTAAAATTTCCTTCTCCTCTGCATGTTGGCACAGACTATTACAAATGGGTATATGTGTGTATTTCTGAACATGTGCATTTGAAGTGCATATACAATATGAATACAGGACAAAATAATTCAATTCAGCTGCAGCAAGGGACCTGCAGAGTTCATCTGGTCCGGTCACTTGCATGCATATGATATGCTGGGAGATGCTCGTGGTGCTTGGCCAGCAAGTCTCATTAATCAGTGAAAATGGGAGTGGTGGGTTTCTCTTCCTTCTGTGCGTAGTTATTTCCGGGGATGTCTTGTTTATTAAGTATAAACAAGAGGAAGTTTTGGCAGGAAATGTTTTAAAGGGGAGGCATCATAGAGAGCTAGGTAGGTAGAAATTCTCATTGGGGGTCATATAATTAAACAGACCTATCCCCACCATGTCCTAAATGTCTTTATTCTGTTCCAAGACAGTTGTGGGAGGCTGTTATCTTCACACTACACATACTTATATATATTGGGTAAAATCTTCCCAAGCCAGCCAGGAGAAAGGATTGGTCTCTCCTGGGAAAATGGAATACTGGTCCTAAAAAGAAAGCAATTCTAATGCAAACTTGGTGGGTCTGGTGACAACACAAGTATGGGCTTCCTTAAAGCCCAGGGTGGCTGAGGTGGGGTTGGGACGGTGAGTCCAGAGGACTGCCAGGCTAAGCCAACTATGTACTGCCCCTAGGCTGGAGAGAGGCTGTAGGCCTGCTAGGGGACTACGGTGGATTAACAAGAAATCTCTAAGATATGTAAAAAGATGAACCGGCAAAAGGGCGCACACTGGAGATTGCTTAGGTCTGAACTGAGGCTTCTGAGTTTCTAGGGCACTACTGGGGACGCCTGGAGGTGCCTGGTGTGTGTCTGTTTATGAGGAGGAGCTACCCAAGTTGCTCTGGTTTTGCACAAATACTTCCCCCTCCCCCCATGGATAGGGACAGAGACTGTAGGTGTTTTGGCTTTGGAGGAGAGGGACACTCAGAAACAACAAGATAGGGCAAAAAAATTTAAAATCATCGAAGGAACTCGAACAGCCTGCACGCACCAGCCTTCCATTATTGAAAAGCCGCGTGCTGGCCTCAGTGCTCAGTTTTGAAATACGAATAAGTAGTAGAGTCAGATCCCATATTACACTCCGGGGACAGAGTTTTAATGTAAACGTAAAATATGCTCGTAATAATCACTTGCGGGGGCCCTGAAGCGCCACTAGAATCTCTGTTTAATTATAAGGCATGAGAGGAGTATTACCAGCTAATTAAACCCCATCCTATGTGTAATCCCCCCCCCCGTGCGGCTGCCGACTTTGAAACGCGAAGTCGCCCCTTTTAATATGAATAACACACACACACACACACACACACACACACACACACACACACACGAAGGAACTAAAGTGAGAAACAGGGTGAAAGGGGGCGGGGCAGAAAGGAAGAAAGAAAGAAAAGAGCCCCGGGCCCTGGCCCAGAGTCAAACGGGCATCCAGAAGGACGCAGGCCCGGCCTTCGGCGGGTGCCGCGAGAAGCCGCTTCCTCTGAGCTCCGAGGCTTCCACTTCCGCTTTCTTCCGCGAGGGATCCCCCCGCGGCCCGGGGCGGGGGTCCAACCAGCCCCTAGGCCGGGAAAGGAGCGAGGGGGAAGGCCCAGTGCCCGCCGGGCAGCCGCGGGAGGGAGGCCGGAGCGGCGCCGGAGGAAGTGAGTTCACCCGGGAAGGATGGAAAGCCAGGAGCCCGGGCCCTCCGCGCGCCTTCCAGGTCGCGGAGCGGGGAGAAGCGGCGAGCTCGCGACTCGCAGCCTCGGCCCTCAACGTGGCCCGTTCGCCCGGGGCCTCGGATGCGGTCGACTCCCTTGGACTTGCGCGGTTGGTCCTTCGTGCTCCCTGGGAGCAGGGGGCGCCAGGTGTGACCTTGGAGCATCAGTCCCGGGGAAGGAGGTCGGAGGTCAGCACAGAGCGGCCGGTCGTTTTCTGGCCTGCTGGGCCTCGGCGTCCTGGCTTCGTTTCTCATGGTCCCTCACAGCCCTTCCTGGTTTGCAAGAGAAAGCTAATGACTAGCGATCGATCGTTTGAATTAGTGACTGAGGACTTGTACAATTGAATACTAAGCTTTGGGAGTCTGTTTTCAGACTTGGTACCCGCTCTACAGTCTGGAAGCAAGCATCTGCATTCTGGCCCGCCTGCCAGATGAAGTCCTGTGCTGCGGAAGCACTGGACAAACTCTCACAACTGGCCGAGGAGCAAGAGTGCGGGGCTGCTGCCGGTCTCTTAGGGAGGAATTCACTTCCTGGCTTCCTCAGCGGAATGTGGAGAAGTAGCCTCTAGGACCTTGAGCGCATGCATGCATTCATGTCTGGAACGAGGCGGGGACATCGAGGGATGCGGAGGTTGAGGTTAATTCCACTCTGCACCAGGGGAATCCAGCCCAGAGCCTATCTCTGAGCTCTCCCATGCAGGGGTGGGGAGGAAAGTGTTGTGCCCTTCCCCCGCCTTCCCCCACAAACTCGGAAAAAGTCGCACCTTCTCAAGCATTGCTGAGAAGGTGGGAGGTCTGGCTCCCTCTATAGCCTGAGGCAGGGTTTGCTGAGTCCCAAGGTGGGAAAGTCAGAACCCCCTCGCTGTATATTAGAGGTAGAGGTTTTGTCAGAATGGGAGCGAGTCTTTGTCTATTGGGCAGCCAGGTTTGGGAACTCTAGATCTGGGTTTGGACTGAGACATTTCCATCACTTTAGGGTCTTGGCATCCAGCTATCTCTCTCTCTCTCTCTCTCTCTCTCTCTCTCTCTCTCTCTCTCTCTCTCTCTCTCTCTCTCTCACACACACACACACACACACACACACCCTCGCCGCCGCCTCTTGAGGAAGCCCTCACACACTTTCTGGCCCTCGCTGGTTTGATAGGATGCTTAATAAGATGGGTGAAATGTTGTTCTCATCTTTTATACACATTCATGCATAGCACAAGGCGGAGCTGAGGAGTAGAGGGAGCAAGACTTTACCCCCAGCCGTCAGCAGGGTCCTTGTCTGCCTCCAGAGTCTCTTAGTGTGTGTGTGTGTGTGTGTGTGTGCGTGTGTGTGTGTGTGTGTATGTGTGCCCCTCTCCTCTCTTCACTCCCCTTTTCACACCCCCTTCCCCCCATTCACCTTCCTGTTCACAACTCCTGGAGCTCCACAAAGGGGCTTAGGGATTCTGGGTCTTCCAGGCCAGCCAGAGGGGCCTTGCTGCCTGCTTGGAAACTCTCCATCTTCCCACAGTATTTCACATCCATATTACTTTTCACACCCTGTTAGGCAGTAATGGCACTGGACCTGCTAAATACTTCCATGCACCAAGCCAGGCCCCCCACAGCACTCCAGATCTCAGAGTGGTTCTTTCAGCCTCGAAGAAGGTTGCCTTCTTCGCTCCTCAGATTGACCACCCTGCCCCAGCTTAGTAACTTGGTGCTGGGTACACAAGTCTAGTGAGTCTTTTCAAGGGGTTGTGGAAGGGTCAGACTTAGGAAGATTTGGGAACATGTATGGCTTCTTGTAATAGCTGACATTAAATTGGCAATTTAAAAAAAATCACAGCATTTTATTGCCATGAGCAAAATACTGGATTCTCTCCCCCAGAGGCAATAAACAAACAAACAGGGAATGGGGCCTAAGCATCTTAATTAAGTTTGTGGCCATCCTTTTTCCCTTTGTGGGCACCAAACCCTGTGAGTAGCATTTGGACACTAAGGATGCAGAATGCAGTGTTCCCAAACCCCTATTCTGTTCTCCATCAGCTATATCCATGAAGTTTCTCCAGCTCTAGGGGTGGGGCTGCTCTATAAACCCAGAGGGAGTGAGGGATAGGGGTGATTAGATCTTCTATGGCAGTGGCATTCTGGGAGCCCAACTGTGTTGGGTTGGACCTGGAATGGAACATCACACATCCCTATACTAGCCCTCACCTTCTTGGGGCTGAGTCTGCTTCTTGATGAGTCTGGTGGCCACTGGACTTCAGTGTAAGATGTTCTGGGAAGTTAAGGGAATCTCTGTAGCTCCCCCACAACCCATCTGGAGGGGCAATAAAACCTGCCCAACCCCTACCTCCAGGACATAGAGGAAAGGAACTAACTTTTAATGAGTTCCTATTAAGTGCCAAACAATTTACAGGCTCATGTTGTTCAATCTTCACAAGCTACAAGGAGGACATTTTTGAATCCTTTATGCTTGAAAAAAACACTGCAGTCCAAAGAGGACAGCCCTAGCTATAGTCTGTGCAATTAAAAAAAAAACTCACAGCTTCATGGGACAGGATGGCTCTGAGAGCCCTGTAGGCTGGGCTAGGTCTCCTGACCACATGTGAGGAACTTGACATGCTTTCTCTGAGCATCTTCCGCACACCCCTGGAGTGAGGCTAAAGTGGGAAATATTCTGCTAAGCACTTGAAGAATTGAAGTATTTTAAACTGTGATCCCCAAATATACTCTAAAATACTCATGGCAGAGACACTCATCAACTAAATGAACCCAGAGTACAATGGCTCCATACAGAGGTACTTTTTTTTTCTCTCCACCTCTTAGGGTTTGAGAAGATATACACTCAAATTTATTGGACTTGAGTTTCTGCTCCTGCCTTTTAAACTGAGCCCAAAACTTCCTCTTCAACTTGGGGCGGCAGGAACAGTGCAAAACTGGGGAGACCTATTAGGCCATTAACTTAGTTCTAATGTACAATGTCTAATGTTCACTTGTCAAGGCCAAGAGTTTGCTCAGTAAGGGGAAGGGATTACCTCCCTCCAAACTGGGAGAGGGCAGAGTGCTCAGGGTGGGGTTCTGGAAGCAAAGCCCTAAGAGTTGCACTTTTCAGATGTGATGATCTGCAAATTTACCTGCCAACCTTCAAGGTGTTGCAAACATCCCTCATATCTAAAGAGGGTATCTCTGGAAATAAAATCTTAAGTTCTGGGTCTGAGGAGTCTGAAAAGTAGGAGGGGTAACAGAACATGAAAAGCCAGGAAGCAAAGCAAAGCCTTCAGAGAGAAGCGATGTAACATGGGAGTTTCTTTTTATTTATTTTATTTATTCTTGTCTTATATACAATACATCCCAAATACAGTTTCCCCTCCCTCCAATCCTCCCAGCCTGCCCTCCCCCCACCAAATCCACTCCTCCTCCAATTCCCTTTAGAAAAGAGCAGACCTCCCAGAAACATCAACCAGACAAGATACAATAAGACTAGCTACAAACCTTCATCTCAGGACTGGGTGAGGCAACCCAGAAGGAGGAAAAGGGCCCAGGAACAGTAAAAGAGTCAGAGACACCCCCACTTTCACTGTTAGGAGTCCCACAAAAACACCGAACAAATTACCATACATATTTGCAGACTCAGTGAAGGCTTCAGTCACTATGAGCTCCGATGAGTCTTGTTTAGTTGATTGTGTGGGCAGTGCTCTCCTGGTAGGTGATATGGGAATCTCTTGAAGGAAATTATTCCCTCTTATTTCCATTCCTACAAAGATACAGTCCCTGCACACACCTTCTCCATTCTCTAGCCATCCACAGCCATTTTTTTTTTTTGAGACAAGGTCTCATGTAGCCCAAGTTGGTTATGTGACAGAACACAGTGACTAGTAAATCTCCTGCTTCCACAGCCCATGATGGGAGGGGTTGTTTACAGAGGAGCCCTACTCCTCTTATGTTCTTCACTGTCCTGATGCTGATGTTGAGGAAGCTCCCCGGAAAAAAGGAGAAGGCAGAGGAGGAGAGGGAATAGAACAACTGGGGGCCTGGGGAATCGAACCTTACTCTTCAGTGCGGACCAGGATATGAACATTCCTGGAAGCCATTCCCATCTAGGTTGAGTCACCACTTTCCCCCTTGTGTAAAAAAGTTGTGGTGTGTGTGTGTGTGTGTGTGTGTGTGTGTGTGTGTGTGTGTGGTGTTTGGTGCAGCAGCAGTGCATTTCCTCCATTTGTGACTAATTGAAAGACTCTGGGCCTTAATTATTCCTGTAGCATTAAGCCAAACCTGGAGGTAGTGGTTATTTAATGGGACTTTTTTTTTTAAATCATGCAAGGCTATGTTAATTCATTTTATAGTTGCCGAGGTGAGAAGAGGAAATACGGTGGTTGATTTTCCTCAGTACACGGTGTTGATACTCTTAACTTGGCGGGGGCAGTTAAAGGCTAACTGGCCTACAGGTGGGATGTACTTTAGGAAGCTCCTCTCTGGTCTTCTGTGGAGGGTTCTGCTGCTACCAGGCGGTGGTGGCCACAAAGGTGCAAGACCCAACTAGAACTGGGTTGCTAATTTAAATTAAGCTCCGTCTTCCCTCCTCTCAGATTGGATTCCCAGGGAGACGACAACTGTCTGGAAACGAAAAACCAAGACCACCAAGAGGGAAATTTAAAGGAAAGCAAGAAACCATGGAGAGAGGGACCGGCAACGGAAAAGAAAATTATTCACCACTTTTGAAGGACGTGCAGAATTTTGCGCCTAGTTCCTGCAACAAGGCATTCTGACTTTTCTCATCATAGTTCCCAGAACCCATTTACCGTGTTCGTATTTTGAAGCCTTTTGTTTTGTTTGCCTGGGAATTGCACGTTTGCATACTCCTGCAAGCTGTACCGGTTGGCAGTAGAAGGGGAAGTCTGAAGCCTGTAGGAGACTTGGGTGGGGAGCGAAAGCCCTGACGGCGCCCTGGGTCCAGTCTAAGGCACTCCCCTCCCGGCTACCGCAGGAGCAGGCTGAGCTGCCGCCCGCCCGTCCGCCGGAGGCTGAGCCCCTGGGCTGCTGGCCATGGGGGTGATCTGGGCCAGAGTGATCGTGCTGCATTTATTAACGACCAGAGAGATTTCTTAAGCCAAGTCCCCAAAGAAAGAGATCCCAACGAGTAAGACAGTTGCAGCTCTGGCTCTGGCCAAGGCTGAGAGTCGGGGAATCCCGACAGAATTGCTGCTTCACAGACATCTCCCGGTTGTAGGACAAAGTGATGCTCCTTGGTGGGCTCCGTGCTCTAGGACTTGCAGTCGTGCGCGGCTGGAAGGTAACTGTCTGAACCATTAAACTATGCTACAACCGGCTGTGGAAACTTGAAGACATTTCTGGTATACTTCAGAAAACACTACTGCTTTTTTTTTTCTTCCGTAGCAGACTCAGTGTAAGTCTCTCCTTTACTAATAATGACACTGTCCTAAAAGTCCTCAGATGGGTGGTCAGACTGGGCGTTCCCGTAGATCTAGAAACCTCTATAAGAGTCGTTCATTCGGCTGAGTGGCAATCGAAGGATGTGATCAGGTGTTGCAAACTTTGGTTTCTGAACTCAAGTGTGGCCTCTTAGACTTTGCATTTACAAAACCGGAACCTTAAAGTGCCATCTCTGGACCCCCGGCTATCCTCACCACTGTGCGGTCCCTTCAAGCCTTCAGGGAAAATCTAGAATCTGGTATTAGGGTGTAGTCTGCCAGACCTGCAGTTCGCCTTGCCTTCCCCACCCTGAGACCCTTGACTAAGAATTGTAGTCCTTCCCTGGGATCTCACTAGCGTGTTCTCAAGCATGCCTCCAAATACATTTTCCCAATCTTGTGGGGCAAGGCTTGATTTCGAAGAACCATGTTCTGCTCCCCTACCCCAGACTGGCCTAGAAGTTAGGTGCACGATTTCTCTTCCCTGCCTGTCTTCTAGGCCAGTCGCAAAGACATGACCAGGGAATCTGAAATTGAGAGAGATCTGGAATTGGCTTGGCCACAGGATTCAAGTTGTAACTATACCTGTGGTCTTAGCCCCTCGGGAACCCAGGGAAGCACCCAGAAACGCAAGCCAAGAGGCAACACCTGGATCAGACAGAGTTCAGCCTCCCCTCCCCCAGCCCTGGCTGGGTGGGAAGTGTTTAAAGCCACAGGTATTGCGCCCTTTTGATGTTTCATAAAAAGACCTTCTTTGAACACCAGGCCTCCTTTCTATTTATTTTTTTTTTCGGTAAGGAGAGTAAACATCTTGCTTATATTTCCATAGTGGTCAGGCACTAATTATGCATGATTCCGGCAACATGATGGCTGCAGCCTGAAGGCGCCGGCCTCAGAAGATGCCTGGAATGTCACATAGATTTTTTTTATTTTTAAGTTTAGACCATTTGCAGTGGGTCAAGAACTGACAGACTGGTGGTTGGAAAAGGGGCACCCAGGATTCCCCAATTTGAAAAACAACCAACCAACAAACAAACAAAACCCGCCTTGGTGATACTAGCAGGCAAGCCAGAGGGCAGCCATCAGTGATCTGGCCCCTGCCTCCGGGATGAAGGCGGTCTCTGCCCCCAGCACGGCTCCTTCGTCCGTGTTTGGTCAGCACCACCATTTAACCAGGACCTAGTAAAATCTGAACTTGTAAGACACGGAGAGAGCACGGAAAGGAACCAGGCAACCGAACAGCATTCTGTTCACGTGACCTTTACTAAGGTTCGGGAAGTTATCTAAGGGCAGCCAAAACCTTCTAACTCCACTGCTCCGAATGTTGACTGTTTCTCGCACCTCACCACCCGCTATGGAGTCTGCTGACTTGCGGAAATTCAGATTTCCTATTCTCTTTCCAGCGTCTACCCCCCTGCCTAACTGTTTGCATTCGGAGATGATTTACCTTTCTTCCATTTACCAGACCATGTGGTTCCCATGCTTACCTGAGCTGGTGGTTTTCCAAATCTCCTTCAGCACAGGGAAAGCCAGGTTGAGGAAAGGTCAAAAAAAAAAAAAAAAAAAAAAAAAAAAGAAGCAGTCCGGAAGTCCAGGCATACAGTATTGTATTCCTTGTGTGCCTTTGATTCATTCCAGAAAAAAAAATCAGAGAAAACAGTCAGTTGAATGGGTGCCCCTTCCCCTCCCCCTCCCATCCTGCCACAAACTCACTGACTTCCAGACCTGAGCCAGTCTCATGCACCGGGAACCCGACCTTGTTTCCCTAAAAGGCCTGACAGAGGTCAGAATACACAGTAGTCAGCTACAACAACGATCCTGGTTGAAGTTCTAAGGGAGGAGGAACAATCATTATTCTCGTGGCGGGAACCGAAGCAAAGACCCCCAGTGCCCATCAACTTCTGTGCAGTTCATTTCATGGACACTTAAGAGATTGAGATTATCTCAGGAGGACCCTCTCCCGATGCCTCCTCAAACAGCTGAGTTCCTCCTAAGTAACCCACATCTAGATATATATGGAGGAACCGGCTCTGGCTGACTGCTTTAACTGGCAGACATTACTGTGACCCCTGTGCGTATTTCCTGACCCCTAGAGGCCAGAGCGAGCAGGACCAGGACCCAAGTCTAAGCATAATCCAAATGTCTAGGCACGGGGACACTTCTTCAGAGTCTTGTGTATAGAAAGACCATTCTTGGGCCCAGCGAATTTACTGTCAAGACAGTCCAAGATCTGCCTCAGCTGGGGCAGTATACGCCCAAGAGCATAAAGCGCGTTATGGATTAAAGGATGCCCTGATGTCGCCCACTGGGACAGTATTGTGCCTCAATGGTTAACAAGCCCTTTGAGAGCCAAGTCCTTCCCAACATCCAACCCCAACTCTGAGGCTAAGCAGGGTGGTGCACACAGCCCGGAAGTGCTTGCTGAGACCCGGAAGCACCTGGAGCTGGCTGCCCTCTCTAGGAGACATGGGCTGCTCCTGCGTGTAAAGCCTTGTTTGTGATTCCCCTGCTGCTCCTGTCCCACCCACTTTTGGAATCTACACTGGCTGAGGGAAAGAAACCGCAGGTCCCCGGAGCAACCGAGAAGACTTAGTTCTTGATTTTAGTTAAGCTGCCCTTCTGTCCTGCCTTGGGATAGAAGGATGCAAATGGAGAGAAGAATTTATAATAGGAGCCGGATGACTAAAAGACTCACCATACATTATAGAATAGATGTACTAGAGATATTCGGATGGAATTCATAATTCCACACACAATAAAACGTCACCTATACCCCCCTCCCCGTGTCCCTCTCTGCAGGAAGCTCCCAGTGATTCGGGATGGGCATGAGACTTGGGCACGCAGAACCTGGGGCTCACCCTGCAGCTCGCAGAGGAGCCGAGCTCGCGGGGCGACTGGCGGGCCTTGTGACCTGCGGTGGTAAGACAAATGTTTCAGATCCAACCTGGCCTGCTTTCCGCAGCACAGGAAACATCTGGGAAGTTTTTCTCCCGACGTTTGGGAAAGCACTTTCTTCTGAACTTGGCGCTAAGGTGTCCTAGGACCCAGATAAACCCGGGTCTGAAGACCGGGTGCAGGGGCTGGCAGCCTTGCAAGCTGCCTGGGTGCAAACTGGGGGGCTAACTGGTGGCAGGCACTTGGGTGAAGGACGAATTAAACACTTAGTCCCGCGTCTGCGCCTTCTGGCCTCATTGTTTTAACGTCTGTACTACTTAGCCACAGTTTGAGAAAGAATAATGCTTTTACATTCAGAAAAACTTCAAAGACCTGGGCTTGCTCAATATGGAGCGCACATGGTAGTCTCCGAAGGCCTTGTCTGCCAGAACATGTTTCTCAGTATTTTTCTCTTTTCTTTCCATCTCCCACCCCCACTTTTTTTTCCTCCCCAGATGGGAGGGAACTGCTGGCTCAGGTTACCTAGGGCATTTTGCCTTTACAGGAGGCAGTTAGGGCTGTGCCAAAGCTTTTCGAGAACGAAATCTCAACTAGGAAGGGACTTTGAGGATGGCTGGCTCTCCGGACAAGGCAGAGAGGTTGTAACTTGATCAAGACCCAGCAGGGACTGTGGCAGAGTAGGAGCATTATCGGGTTTATAGATGCTAAACGCGGTGCCCTTGCCTGCAGATGCACGTGTTCCTTTGGGCAACCACTTTTGTGTGTGTGTGTGTGGTTTTCCGAGACAGGGTTTCTCTATATTGTTTTGGAGGCTGTCCTGGAACTTGCTCTGTAGACCAGGCTGGCCTCCAACTCACAAAGATCTGCCTGCCTCTGCCTCCTGAGTGCTGCTGGGATTAAAGGTGTGCGCCACCAATGCCCGGCTGGCAACCACTTTTTAAACCAAGGTCAATATACACTGGTTATGTCTCTACCGTAGCACGTGGCTCTCGATGTAAAAAGTCTTCCTGTTTATCGAATGCTTGTTGAACTAACCAAATGAAGGCAGCAATCTATCAATCTACTTTTTAAAATTTTTTGTCTAAAGGAATATCAGTGCCAATCCTACCCCTTTTTTTACTACTATTTTCTAGACAACCATCCCAATTTTCTTCACTCCGTCTTTTTTCCCTTCATTTCTTTTTAAACTATCCAGCAGACAGAAGCAAAGAGTTGGCTAAAAGTTCAGGTAAATTGCTTCAGGAGTGGGGTCAAGGAAAATTCTGGATAGTAAGATTCAATACACTGATCTACTTCAGCTTCTGACTTCTCCTGCAGAAGCTGAGACCCAAGAAGGCAGTTATTTGCCCAGGGCACACAGCTAGGACGGAGCTTGAAACTCCTGACAGGCCGTCTGTGTGCTCCCCATCCCAGAGCAGCCAGGAGGGAGAAGTCAGATAGCTTCCTCTCCCTTAGCCCCTTCCATTAAATGGACTCCTTTCAGCACCACTGAAAAATGATCTCAGGATATTACCCTTCAGCGAATTTACATGCAGAGTTAGTATTAAAGGCAGGGGTGAGTTCTTAGGACCCCCATTTAAAAGAAGATTCAGGCTGTCGCCAGAACACGCAGCTTTATCTAGCACAATATTGATGGTGTCGGGGAAGCACAACACACATGGAGCTCATTAACCATGGATCTTATCAAATCTTCCAGCTCTCTAGTGGCATAGAAGATATACTCAGGGCCAGTGGGCAAATTACCCTGCCCGGGGTCAGAAAACCTGTACTTTAGACCTGAATTTGTCATTGGCCTCTTGTATTCCGTGACCAGCCACTTTCTGCAGGTCCCTGGTTCTCTAGATATATGAATACAGGTTTTATATACCCATATAAAATATATATGCATTTAAATATAAACCTGAATTCTCTTCTCGTGTTCTCTGATATTCTGTTTATCAACATTTAACAAGTCATGTGCTCATGCCTGATGGACGTTAGAGCTTATTCTCATGTGAAAAACTGAGGAGGTGGAACCTGCAAGGGGTTTAGAGATGCTTCAGCCCCTGCATCCTGCAGATAAGATATGGGGCCCAAGGAGGCTTCCTTAGGTCACCCAGCTGGAAAGCCCAAGGTGGCTTTCTGTAGTGTCACATTCTTTCCAGAAATTTATTACAGAAATGGGGCCTACTGGTCTCTGCAGTAGGTTTATGTCAGCACAGGTCACATCTCTGGCTACCTCCACCTGCCACGTCAATGATCTGCAGGCCTTATGTGGCTTTCTGTTTCAGGTTATAAATAATAGAGACAGAATGTGATGGTTTTCAATTCAGGAGCATGAACTTAAAGCAGAGCTCCATGATAGAACCAGTACCTTCACTTGGAATATGTCTCTTTTCCTTTCTCGTGTGTGTGTGTGTATGTGTGTGTGTGTTAGTTTTGAGACAGTGTCTCACTGTATAGGCCAGGCTAGCTTGGAACTCACAGACACCCACCTACCTCTGCCTCTTGAGTACTTGGATTTAAAGATTTGTGCTACCATACCCAACCAGAACAGTCTATCTTTAAATATACTATCTCTGCTATGCAAAAGCATCACAGACCGTAGGACAAAGTTATGGTTTTTCTAGTGAGAGGTGCAGCAGCAAATCTTTTTATTTATTTTAAGACTGAAGTCCAAGGTAAGAAAGATGAAAAAAAAAGTTCCGGTCAAACCAAATAAGGATGGGTATTAAGTAAAGCAGCGTTCATAATAGTATTCAATTGACCTTTCTCAACAGACACCCAAATTACAATATTGGGGGTAAATGAAGGCACTAATGAGAATGATCCACCATAAGGATAAGTTTGTTTGCACTGAGGTAATACATTCTCCTGTGTGAGCA